GGGGCGGAGGAGGTGGAAGTGTGACCCGCCAGTCCTCGTGCGTGCGCCGAAGGCTCTCGCAGGCCGCTGCGGCTGTGCCCTGCCCGCCCGCCGCGCGCGCCCGCTTTTCCGAGCTTGCTCCGGCACAGGCCCGCGCTCCAGCGAGTGGCCGCGAGCCCGTGTGCGGCCGGGGAGGAGGGGGGAGGAGGAGGAGGAGGAGGAGGAGGAGGAGGAGGAGGAAGGGGAGGAGGAGGAGGAGGAGGAGGAGGAGAGGGAGGAGGGGAGGAGGGGGAGGAGGGGGAGGGAGGAGGAGGAGGGAGGAGGAGGAGGAGGAGGAGAGGAGGAGGAGGAGGAGGAGGAGGAGGAGGAGGAGGAGGAGGAGGAGGAGGAGGAGGGAGGAGGAGGGGAGGGAGGAGGAGGAGGAGGAGGAGGAGGGGGAGGAGGAGGAGGAGGATGGAGGAGGAGGAGGAGGAGGAGGAGGAGGGGAGGAGGAGGAACGGGGGAGGGGGAGGAGGGGGGGGAGGAGGAGGAGGGGGGAGGGGGAGGAGGAGGTGGAAGTGTGACCCGCCAGTCCTCGTGCGTGCGCCGAAGGCTCTCGCAGGCCGCTGCGGCTGCCCTGCCGCCCGCCGCGCGCGCCCGCTTTTCCGAGCTTGCTCCGGCACAGGCCCGCGCTCCAGCGAGTGGCCGCGAGCCCGTGGTGCGGCCGGGGGGAGGAGGGAGGAGGAGAGGAGGAGGAGGAGGAGGAGGAGGAGGAGGAGGAGGAGGAGGAGGAGGAGGAGGAGGAGGAGGAGGAGGAGGAGGGAGGAGGAGGAGGAGGAGGAGGAGGAGGAGGGGAGGAGATGGGGAGGAGGAGGAGGAGGAGGAGGAGAGGAGGAGGAGGAGGAGGAGGAGGAGGAGGAGGAGGAGGAGGAGGAGGAGGGGAGGAGGAGGAGGAGGAGGAGGAGGAGGAGGAGGAGGAGGAGGAGGAGGAGGAGGAGGAGGAGGAGGAGGATGAGGGGGGGGGAGCTCTCGAAGACGGGGGAGGGGGACGGAGCTCCCGAACAAGAAGGCTGCGCAAGCAGCAGGGTTGCTTTTTTCTTTCTCGGGCGTTGCACGGGCTTCTTGGGTTTGCTCCGTGCCCCCTCCCCCGATGGCGCGCTAGGCGCGCCAGGGGCGGCGCGGGAAGCGGCGTCCAGCGCAGATGTGAGAAGTCCGTGCGGGCCCTCAGTTTTAAGTCGGGCCTGTCCCTCTACAGGGGAATATTCAGAAATAGTCAAAAATGGTCGGGTGATTATTTGTTCGGCATGCTTTCACAATTTTGGAGTATTTTTTTGAGTATGTTTGAATTTTCGTCGAAAATCCCCTTGTAGTGGGACACGCCCGATTTAACCTTAGTCCGTTAGTGCCTTTGCCGCGTTCTGTCCTGTCCCTCTGCGGGCAGGGGGCTCGTTCACAGGCGCTTGTGTGCTGGCGCCGAGGCGCCCACGTCGAGCTGGGAGGGGGGGGGGATTGGCACAGGAGTCCGAGGGTTTGGGAGGGGGTGGGGGGGGCCAATTAGACGCACGGGGAGGGCGAACAGAAACAAAGGGGTGGGGGGCCCGGTAGGGGGATGGGGAGTGAAAGGAAGGGCAGGAGTGATGGGAAGGAGAGACGGGAACAGGAGGGGGAGGGAGGGAGAACGGTGGAATGAGAAGGAGTGATTAATAAGGAAGGGGAGTGCAGGAACGAAGAGGGGCAGAAGAAGGCAGCGGACTGCGGAGGGGGAAACGCATTTGATAAGGGCGGGAAGGACATTGAAAGGCGGCAGGACGTGATGGGGGAGGGGGGATGAGGGGAGGGACAGTGGATTGGAGGGGGCGAGGTGAGCGGTGTCGAAGACAGGCCCCCTGTCGTAGCACCATTTGCCGCCTGACTGGCTGCACTGACTACCCGAGGCAGGGCGACCGGTGCGCCCCCCGTTGGTCGCGCAGGGCGCCCCGCGCCAGGATTCGGAAGAGGAGGGACTCGGACGGCAATATCGGCCGCTGCACACCTGGCGGGGCTGCAAGAGGAGGCGGAGGTGGGCGCAACGATCAAGTTCGGGGAGCGTCGTCGTGAGGCGCGGGACGTCCAGTATACACCCTAGGCGATGCTTAAGAAAACGGAAGGTTTCGGCCAGAGTCTCGATTATTCTTACTGTTTCAATGCACATCTTAAAAATTTAATAGAATTTTTGTGTTTTTATTCAAATTCTGAGACTATGAGTTTCTTAACCCATGATTTCTTAAGCATTTCGCAGGGTGTAGGGCCTCGGCGAGGAGCGCCAAGTCAGAGGTGTCGCTTAGGTTTTGGCCACGCCGTGGCCTCCAGGGGGGGGGGGGAAGGGGACCCTACCGCAGTACGGCTCCCCCCGTCGATCGATCTCGTCCAAAAGAGGGCCCAATGATGGCCTCCGGTGCTCCCACGGAGGCCCCAAGGCAGCCCCAGGAGGTGCTCAGCAAGCCCCAAGAGGCCCCTGAGATGCGCCCAAGAGGACGAGGCCCCCAAGAGGCCCCGAGAGGCTCCCCAGAAGCACCCAAGACGCCCCCAAGAGGCTCCCGAGGAGGAGGAGGAGGAGGAGGAGAAGGAGGAGGAGGGGAAGGAGGAGGATGAGGGGAAGGAGGGGGAGGGGTCAAATTTTCCCCGAATGGGACGCAAGGGGGTTGGAATCTGACATTCCCCAAACTGTTCTCGCCAGGAAGGGCTGGTGGGATTAGGTGACCCAGGTGTCGGGGTGTCGTCGGTCGCGAGTCATTGACGAATTCCGTCGCGCGAGAGATCGCGTCTGGCGTCCATCGTCGGGTCCCCGCCCTGCCGCATGCATCGCGAGCCACAGGACTTGACCATCAACGACCACAGGGCCTACAATGCATTCTTTTCCGAGGCGCGGCCGCCTGCGATGAAGGGGGGGTGGCATGCTGATGATGTTGACGTTGCTATCGATGCGGATGATGACGATACCAATGTCGGTGGTGAGGTGGTGACGGCGACGGTGATTGCAGCGGTGATGGTGGTGGTGGTGATGGTGGCGATGGTGCGTGCTGATGGTGATGAGGATGGTGATATTGGTGATTGTGATGACGACGATGCCGACGACGACTTCGACGAGACGGGGAGGAGGAGGAGGAGGAGGAGGAGGAGGAGGAGCATCCCGACAGAGGAGGAGGAGGAGGAGGAAGGAGGTGGATGAGGGAGGCGGAGGAGGAGGAGGAGGAAAAAACAGTTTCGCCGACAGTGCGCGGCGCCAGGCTAGAGCAGCATTTCCAAAACTTCCTTGTCTACATAATTGAATCAGTTGCAATGTTTCAAACTAGGATGCAACTCCCGTGAGGTTCAGTCCTGCGTCAGCGTCGGTATCTTCGCGGTCGGTAACAGCTTTCAGTTGGCCTGATCTTGTTCAATCCGGCTTACTCCTGTTCAGGCCCGCTGACTCCGGCTTAAGTTGGCTGAAGTCCGGGGTTAGTCCTGCCTGATCCTGGCTTGACCGATTTCGATCGTTGCCGCGGAGACCTCCCAGAAGTTGCCTCGTAAGGCAAAGGGGGGCGGGCCTTCTCGAAGGGCTCAGAATGCCTCGGGCCTTCCTCCTCCTCCTCCTCCGCCTACTCCTCCTCCTCCTCCTCCTCCTCCTCCGCCTCCTCCTCCTCCTCCTCGTTTTCTCGGATCCGAGCCTTCTCTTGAGCCACGGGGTGCCTCGCAGAAGGTCAGAGGGCCTCGAGGAGCCCCCCTCGCGCCTTCCGAGGAGGCGCCGGGCCCCTCTCGCCCCCCCCCCCTCCTCGGCACGCCGTCGAGCGGATAGGGGGCCACATGCGAACCCTACCCCTACCCCCCACGATTTCTGAGGGGGAGGGTGGGGCTCACTTCGCTCGGGAGCTCCCGAACGAAGTGAACCCCACCCTCCCCCTCAGAAATGGCGGGGGGTAGGGGTAGGGTTCGCATGTGGCCCCCTAGCGGAGCGATGGTGAGGCCTGGGCGCGAACGTCCAGACGTTGGCGTTCGGACTGCGCGCCAGGTGGGGCTCCCCGAGGATCGAGCACCAGGATAAGTTCAGGCGGAAGCTCAGGGAGGAGCAGCCCACGAGGTCCACTTGTCACCGGTGCGCGGCCCCTGGTCCACCATGCAGGAGCTGAACATTCACCGGCGTCCAGGGTGGACCGAGTACCTCGTAGAGCTGCGCGACTTGCCACCACGGGAGTCATCTGGCGTTCGCGGCGGACCCGTGCTGCAGTCGAGGCGCCGAAACATGGACCACTCTGTGGTTGAGGAGGGGCTCCGGTTTTCGGGCCACTCCTTCGATCTGTGTCGGGGGCCTGTTACTGGGCGAGGCTCGCCGTTGCCGGTAAGGCCCCTCGGTTGCTCACGTGGCTTGCCGCACGACGGCTGCAGGATGTGGAGGAGGCGGAGGACGGCGAGCTAATCTGGAAGAGGAGGAGGAGGAGGAGGAGGAGGAGGAGGGCGGAGGAGTGAGTTAGGTCGTGGATGAAGAGGGGGAGGGGGGACGCGGAGGAGGAGGGTCCACCCGAGGCTCGAGATGTTTGAGTGAAGATCTCTGCGGCGGGGTAATTCGCAGGGATGTGTGCGAGGAAGTTTTGCCCGTTCAATCGTTAACAATTGCGCCTACGTGTGTCGACCCCAAGACAGCGTGGAATACGGGGAGGATGTTCTGCCCTATTGTGTTGTGGCGCATGTTCTCTATCATTATCTCTCTCTCTCTCTCTGTCTCTCTCCCCCTATCTCTCTCTCTCTCTCGTTGTTTCTTCCTCTCTCTCTCTCTCTCTCTCTTTCTTTCTGCTCACACCTGTCTAACTGCTATGTTGCGGATCCTCGCCTCCTCTTCGATTGAATGTCCCCACGCCCTTCCAGACCGCACTACTTCAACGAGCCATTGACTTCACTACCCCCACGTCCCGCCTCTCATAATCCGCCCTCTCACAACACGCCGTGGTTGGTGCACCCTGCTTGTCTCATTCGGCCATGTTGTCAACGCCATTTCGACGCAGGCCAATTGCCAGACCTTTTTGAACGATCTGATCAACTTCGCGGATGTTAGGCGCCCCATCCGTTCCGGTTGGGGTTTGTCCGTCATCAAAAATTTGAGGTAAATTCAGGCACAGCAGTTCGGGTCTCAGTGGCGGTTGGTTCATCCCCGTTGGGGTCCTTGGTATTGCTTGCAGGCATCTTGTCAAATTCGCACCCCCTGCCGGATTTTTAGAAATATGATCCGCAGGCGTGGGGTTCACTCATAGTTGCATATTTTCTCCTCCCTCCTCATCTCCATCCTCCTCGTTCCTCCCATCGCTCCTCTCCGTCCCCTCACTCGTACCTCCATCGTTCCCTCCTACCGTCCTCCCGCCCCAAGTTGGACATGTACTTTCAGAAGCGTTATTCCGACTCAAAACATACCCCTGCCCCGCCATCTCCCCATCCAGTTCTGTTTCCTTCATCGGTCCCTCCTGGTTCCCGTCTCTCCGCCTCCCCTCTTCATCCATTCTGCGATCAATTGCGATCTCCACGTCTACGGATCCAGTCGATGCTGTGGAAGCGGGCCCCCGCGCTGGGTCTATGCTGGTTGCAGGCATCTTTCAAAGTATGTCCCTTTCTCCTACTCCCACTCCTCCTTTACATCGTACTTGTTGGGATTTCAAGTTTCCGTGGTCATTTGTTGAGCTTGGTCCCTGATAGTTGTAAACACATGCAGTTTTGCCAGTGTCCCGCAACCTCGGTTGCGCGTAACGGCTCGCCGCCTATGGCAGGCTGTCTTGCGCTGCTCCAGATATCTGGGACTGTTTCTCCGCATCTCTCCCCCTCTCCTCCTCCTCCGCTTCTTCCCCGAATGTGGTGGCGCTACCCGAGCCAACCGCTACAGAGCTCTTCCGTTGCGATGATACCCCCCCTTGAAGGGCATCGCGTTTGGTGACGTTAACCCAGCCGGCCACTGTAGAGCACTGCCGTGCACCTTTGAGGAGCAGCGGATCGTTCGTTGTGCGCACCCATGTTGTTCCCCATGAACAATGATCGGATTGGGGTGGCTATGGCGCGCGGTCGTTGTGAGTTTCGAGGTCAGAGCTGTTTGGGCCTGTCAGGAGGCCTCTTGGAACCCTGCAAGCCCTGTGGGGGCCTCGTTTGGTGCTTTGGAGGGCCTCTTGGGCCCTGTGGGGGCCTGCTTGCGGGCTCCTCTGGGGCGGAGGGTTCGAAATCTCAAATCGACTTCCCTCTTTTCTACCTGCGTTTCCTGGGCCGTCTTGGGGCCCTCTTGAGACGTCTCAGGGTCCTCTTGGGTGCATCTCGTGCAGTTTTGGGGTGATCTTGGAGGCCTCTTGGGCTGTCTTGGACGGCGTGGAGGCCAAACAATGGCAGATGCATGTTCTCCTAGGGAATTGAACGACAAAAGCATCTTGGAGCCGTCTTGGGGCACTCTGGGGCCTTCTAGGGGCGTTCTGGACCCATGTGGCCCGTATGCTTGTTGGTTTGAAGATATGTATATGTGTATGTGTATGGGTATGCATGTGTGTACGATTGTACGTAGGTCTACATGTATGTCTGTGTGTATGTATGTGTGTATGTATGTATGTATGTATGTAGGTATGCATGCATGAATGTATGTATGTATGTACGTATGTGTTCGCATGTATGCGGGCATGCATGTATGTATGAAGTACGTGTGTATGGTCACGTTTGTTTGTTTGCATGCGTGTATATATATATGGGTATAGGTGTGCATGCGTGTACGCATACCTGTATATACGTATATGTGAATGTATGTATGTATGTTTGTGTGCATATGTATGTATGTATGTATGCATGTATGGATGGATGGATGGATGTATGTGTGTATGTATGCATGGATGTGTGTAGGTGTATGTGTGTAGATCTGTCTGTCTGCATGTCTGTCTGCCTGTCTGTCTGTCTGTATGTATGTAGGTGTGTATGTATGTATGGATGTATGTATGTATGTATCTATGTGTGTATGGGTTCGCATGTATGTGGGCATGCATGTATGTATGTATGAAGTAGGTGTGTATGGTCACGTTTGTGTGTTTGTATGCGTGTATATATGGGTATAGGTGTACATGCTTGCACGCATACGTGTATATACGTATATGTGCATGTATGCATGTATGGTTGTGTGTATATGTATATATGTATGTATGTATGTATGTATGTATGTATGTAGGTAGGTAGGTAGGTAGGTAGGTAGGTAGGTAGGTAGGTAGGTAGGTGTATATACAGTATATGTATACACGTCCACATGTATACATGTACGTATGCAGGTATGCATGCATGCATGTACGTGTCTATGTATGTATGCATATATGGATGCACGTATGTATGCATGCATGTATGCATGGATGTTCGCATGGATGTATGCATGCATGTATGTATGTATGTATAGATGTATGCATGTACGTATGTATGCATGTATGTATGGATGGATTGATGGATGTATTGTATTGTATTGTATTGGATTGTATTGTATGTATGTATGTCGATCTGTCTGTCTGTCTGTCTGTCTGTCTGTATGTATGTATGTATGTATGTATGTATGTATGTATGTATGTGTGTATGTGTGTATGTGTGTACGTATGTGTGTATGTGTTTGTGTATTCTTATGTGTGTGTTTGTATGTGTGTATCCGCTGTGCCCTACTCCTTCGCCCTCTCCTTCCGTCCGCCCCCTCTTCCGCACCGCTGGAGTCTCCTCCCTCCGGGCCCCGTTGACGCGCTGGGCGCCCGTGGGATGGGCAGCCCTGCGGCGGTGCCAGAGACCATTGCACGTGGGGCGCGCCGCGCGGGACCCCACATTGAGGAGGAGGAGGGGGAGGAGGAGGAGGAGGGACAAAACAAAACACAGACACAATTATTCGTCGATTCCCCAAAAAATATGCGAAAATATGGGAAGTGGTGGGGAAGACAAAAACCCAGAACATGTAGGAACATATAGGGAATCTGTTTATATTGTGTGTATTTATTTGTGTGTCCTGAGGCCCCTTTAACTAAGTCCGATCGACCCCACACATTGGAAGGGACCTCTCAAGCTTTCGTCAGGCCTGCGCAGTGTTCTCGGCATCGCTCGGACGTGTGCCTTGTTCCTTCGGCGAGGACCATCGAGGAGCATCCTTGATCATTTGGCGAGAAAAACTACGCACGAAACCGACAAAAGCACACGGAATGGACGTCCGAGCGATGGCGAGTGTTCACAAGAGCAAGAACGCAGCTGAGCACAGGAGGGCGTGCAGGCAGCTGCGGAGCTCGGACATGCAGAAGCAAGGTGCGGACGACGCTGCAAAGCCCTAGGAGAGCAGAGGATTGACAGCGCAAGCACCAAATCTGCAAGTGGCTGGGGAGCCTCCGCCTTCTCCTCCTCCTTCTCCTCCTCCCTCCGCTCCTCTCCCCTCTCCAGAGCTGGCCAACCAGAGGAGAGGGCTCGCCCTGGTCCTCCTGTCTTTCCCCCATCCCCAAAGCTCAGGTGGGGCGACGCCGACGAGAACATGACGCCCACCGATTTCGTCGGCTCCTTGGCGTCGCGTTGCGATCGGGTGCAGCTGCTGAAGGGAAGGGGCGCGGATAGAGAGACCATCGGCGAAGGTCTTGTAGGGACCCCACGCGTGAATGCCGGATCGGCTCGGAAGGACGGGTTGGGGTGCTCATTCTTGTCAGGGCTGGTGTGTGTGATGCTTCCGCGTCATCCTCCCCTTTCGCTCTGACAGCCTTCCGCCCTCACCTCTACGCTGCTCCTCTTCGTTCGGGGGAGCGTCAGCCCCGGGTTTGCCAGGACTCGGGTTCGCCATCGTTTTTTGACGACCGCACCTCGGATTTTGACGAGGAGGAGTTTCGTGGGATGTCTGCAGCGGGAGGCCTCGTCAAAACGCAGGCTCGGCCTCGTCATTTGTTCGACGACCTCGTCGGGGATTTCCGAGTCCACCGTACCCAGGTCTTACGTCCCCCCGATTCGTCTTCCTCCTCCACTGCTCCTGCTGCGCGTCGTCCCCGTGCTCCTGCACCGCCTCCCCCGCCCGCCCGCCTGCGCTCGTCGCCTCGTCGACGCGCGAGCGGGCGAACGTGCAGCGCTCGCCCCGGCGCCGCACAGCTCTCGCCCGACTCCCGGCGCTCCCGTCGCTGCGCGGCGCGTATCTATCCATAGGCATATATAGATATGTGTATATGTATATGTATATGTATATGTATATGTGTATGTGTATGTGTATGTGCATGCATGCATGTATGTATGTATGTCTGTATGTATGTATGTATGTATGTATGTATGTATGTATGTATGTATGTATGTATGTATGTATGTATGTATGTATATATGTATGTGTATATATATATATATATATGTATATCACATGCGAAGCCGTGTGTGTTGTGCCCGGGCCGCGCGCGAGCGGGCGGCTAGTGGCCCTCGCCGAGGCTCCGTGCAAGTCTCGCGGTCTCCTATCCTCCTCCCCTCCTCCTCCTCCTCCTCCTCCTCCTCCTCCTCCCTCCTCCTCCTCCTCCTCCCTCCTCCTCCTCCTCCTCCTCCTCCTCCTCCTCCTAGCTCCTCCTCCTCCTCCTCCTCCTTCTCCTCATTCTCCTCCTCCTCCTCCTCCTCTTCCTCCTCGGCGCGGCGCAGCCTTTGTCCTCGCTGTACTTATCGGGGATTTGGCCGTGCCAGATACAGTCGGGACGCTGAAGAAGAAGCCCTTTTCGTTGGGGAGGGGCTCGGTGTTCCTCGATTGTTCTACAGTTTGCCTCTGGTGTTCTTGAGGTCTTCCACGGAAAATCGAAGTTCAACTTCTGGGAAACAGGGGCCTCGTTCCTTATTGCGAAGGCCTTACGGCCGGTGCCGCCGACCCTGAATGGCGACGACGACAACGACGACGAGCGCTCTTGGGGGCCTCTTGGGGGTAGTTTGTGGGCCTCTTGGGAAGCTCTTAGGGGCCGCTTGGAAGCCTCGTGGGGGCCTCTTGGGGCTTCCTGGGGGTCTCTTGGAGGGGGCCTGGGACGTCTTGGAGGCTTCTTGCACGGTCCTGGGGCTATCTTGGGCGTTTTCGGCCGATCTTTGGGCGACTCGGGGCCCTCTGGGGCCGTCTCGGGGGCCATCTGGGGCATTCGGACCTCATTTGGAGTGTTTTCAATGTTTCTAGGCCGCCCCCCCGGGACCCCCCCCGGGGACCCCCCCCTCCACCCCTCCCGGGACCCCCCCCGGGACCCCCCCCCTCCCTGGGGAAGGGATCAAAGGGAAGGGGCTTCCCTTCGACTCGATTACGACACTGCTCGATTTTTCTCTCGCTCACGAGCTTGAGAAGGAAGCTGCAGGGAAAGGGGACGACGGAGGCGACGACCGACGGAGACGACGACTCGAACAGCCAAGCCCCTCGCACACGCCGACAGGGTCGGCGGATTTAGGGTTCCTTGGGTCAACGCCCCGACGGTAGGGTGCAACGGTGCTCTCGCCGACGCTCTGCGCGCGCTTGCTCTGAGGTTCCGCTCCCGCCACCGCCCAGGTCCTCTTGCTTTCTACCCCGTCGCCGGCAGCGGGACCGCGCGCGAGAGCGCCTTTCTGCGAGGCGCGGCCAAGTTCCGATCGCAAGTTGTGCGTCGCCATGCGCCCTTCTGCTTCCTGGGAAGGAGGGCGGGACTGGGCGGGGCCCGCTGCCACGTTCGGCTTGGAGGCACGGCTCGATCTTGCCGCCCCCCTCTCTCGTCGTCCCCTTCCCCTGCTGGCTCCTCCTCGTCCTTCCCGCGCCTTCCCACGCCATCCGCCCTGTGTTCCCCCAGCTACTCCTCTTCTTATCACTCCCTCTCCTCCTCGCCTTCCTCCTTCTCCCCCTCGCTCTGTCCCCTTGTTCCCTCCTCTGGTTACACGCGCCCGCCCTGTCTGGGCTCTTTGGGCCGTCTGGAGGCCCTCTCGGACCGACTTGGGGGGGCTCTTGGAAATCTATTGGTTCCAGCACTTGAGCATATGGACCCTCAGAGAGTTTGCACAGCCTTCGATGCAGGACACTCCACTTGGTGCTCCACTCACTGCACGGCGACGGACACCCTCCCTAGTGGGTGTCGTTGAGCGCACATCACGCTATCATGTTCTGATTTGGAGCCTAGTGTTCGTGTGCATGCGTGTGCATGCGTGTATGTGTGTGTGTGTATGTGTGTGTTTGTGCGTGTGTGTGTGTGTGTGTGTTTGTATGTGTGTGTGTGTCCGCGTGTGATGCCCGGCTCCGTAGTCCTTTGGTTCAGCGCCTCCGCTGTTTCCCCAGTAGCTCCCATCCCTCCCCAGGTCGCCACCTCACCCCGGCGTCCCGTCGGCTCTCCGCCGCATCGTCCCCCGCCGTGTCTTTCGCGGCCTGCCTGCGCTCGCCGTTGCCTCCGCAGGCGTCGCGCGCGGCGCCCCCCCCCCGCCCCAGACCCCGCCTGCCCGGCTGCCGCTGCTGCCATTCATTGCCCCATGAGGGGCCGGCCCGTTCATCGGCACGAACGAAGTGGGTACGGAAAGAATGGACTGCGTCAAGTTGAGACAGAAGGCCGCCTGCCAAAAAAGCGGCCGCTGTTGGTTCGGGGCAACATTTGCTGTTGGGCACTGCCTATTGTTTCCGTGCCCACTTCGGGCGTCCAAATTTCACTTCTCTTCCGGCGCGCGCGCGCGCGCCTAGGCTCAGGAGGGGAAGAAACACACAGACACAATTAATCGTCCATTCCTGGGAAAGAATTGGAAAATAGGGGAAGCGGGGGGGAAGACGAAAACCTAGAAAAGATGATAAAATATGGGAAATCTGTTTATTTGTGTGTATTTATGTGTGTGTCCTGGGGCCCCTTCAAAGGCGACTCCTCCTGCCGGCGCGCGTGGCCCGCCCACCCGCTCGGGTGCTCTCTTCCCTGCGGGGGCACGGCCGTCCCAGCCGCCCACTCGCTGTGCCGCGTGGGTTTTTCGGACAGTGCGCAGCCCAAGCTGGCGCTCGCTGTGGTGATGCACGCCGCCATGTCGCAGTGCTTTAGCATCTGATACCATAGTCTGCCCGCCAGTCCCTCCGCGGAGGGCTCGAAAGTGTTCACGGCTCTGTCCTCGTCCTCTTCCTCCCAGTAGTGCAGCGCCGCCTCGTCTATCGCCATCTCAGGTGAGGTTCCCAGTCCGTCGTTCAAGTCGCATCCTGTCACTGGGGCGCAGCGGGCGCCGACCGACTCGATCGTCGAGCGTGTCCAAGCGATCAGGGCCTGGACGACCCGTCGATACTCCGCCCCCTCGCTGTGCCGCTGCAGGAGGAGAAACAAAAAGAAGAGTGTGTATGTGTGTGCGCGCGCGTGGCCAGGGAAGCACAGCAGCTCGGCCTCTCGTGGACGGCGCCGTCGGTTCTGCGCGCGCCTGCGGTCCTCTCACCGCGCCAGGTCACCATGTACAGCAAGTATCTGCAGACGGTCTCGCAAGGACGGGTTCCGGGGGCGACTGAAAGGCCAGGCTAGGAGGGGGGGATGGGGGGAGGGGCTGAGGCCCAGACATCCAGCGGTCCAGGAAATTCGAGACGGCCGGTTTTGCGCCATGCTGTGCCTCCTGAGGCAGGTGTTCGGGGCACGGGACAGTCAAGACCAATTCAGGATGAAAAGTCGTTCCAGGGGGGAGGGGTCGAGACATCAATCCACAACTAGTTGCTGGATGTGTGTGGGGTGTGGGATGGACAGGGATGGAATCGGGCAATCAGGCAGGCCTGGGATGAGGATAAATCATTCCAGAGCGTTCTGGAACCTTCTCACAGCCTTCTGGAACGCTCCGGTTTTCAGATATTCTCGATTTGTCTTCGTCCGAAGTTATTTTCTTCTTGCCCCCTTGGTAGGGAAGGCAAGAAGAGGTCTGATATACGAGGGGCTGATCTCGACGCCGAGAGAACAAAC